CCGGCCCATAACTCCATTTTAAAAGTCACTTAAGTTCACTTAAAATGTAGGTGAATTCACTCCTTTACCCCGTCCCTTGTAGCTAACCATAAACTCACTAAAAGAAAGCAGGCTATAAAATAGGTACAAATAGAACAAAATGAGAAGCAGGATAAATGTTAAACCACAAGGTCCTCCCAAGGTCTGCCTGACTAGCACACAACCGGCAATTTCTGGGAAATGTAAACCTTGTGATAATTATGTGGCATTCTTGTAAAATTCCCAAAAATGAGGTAATGTGGTAACATGGTTACTATGGAAAGCTAAAAGGTGTTTAAACTGGAAGCAAAGTCAGTCAGCACCGACAGCTTCCCTGGCTTCTAGTCAGGCTGTCGGTCCCCGGCTCAATAAAGCTTTGTTTGCTCCTGTGCTCAGCCTGTCCTGAGTGCTTATCTTGCTGAATTTTTCTTTTGCCGTAACAAAGGGACACCATATACACCGTGGGCAGTACACCCAGTGAGCTCACTGTCTTAGACTGTAGGATCTAGAATTCTAGGAAGGGATTTAATGATTAATGGAGTTAAATTGAAGCCTACAAAACTGAGAACCCCTGCGAGGTAGACTGGCCTCAGTTTGATGCAGGATGGGCCCCTAGAGGAACTCTAGCCTGGCATACAGTTCCTTCAATTTGGAAAAGAGTCACTGATAAATCTGGCCACCCCAGTCAGCTCCCATGTATTGACTCCTGGTTTGAGACTGCCTGATTCTGCATTAGTAGGCAAGGGCAGAATCAGGTTTGTGTGGCCCATGAACTGGACCAAAGACCTCAAAAAGAAAGGCCATTCAGCAGGGTGACCCAGAAGACCTCTAGTCCCTGCCACCCACCCACATGCCTCCGTCTGCACCTCTTCCGCTGGTCGTTCCCACCACATCACCATCTGTCCCTCTACGTCCATCGGCTCCTGCCAGTCCGCTCTTAAAGCCCCCAGTGACTGTGATCCAGCGACTGGGCAAAGAAGCCAGTCCCTGATGCCAAGCCAGACTGGGATTCTTGCACCTCTGCCAGGAAGTCCTCTCTTGCAGCACAGTGAGAAGCCATCCTAATGGGGGTCCGTGCAGGGGACAGGAAGCTCTGTCACTCAGCAGCCAGACTCGTTGCCTGGAGGTCTGTACAAGTGACGGAGACGGTTCCCATCTTCACGCCTCTCAACCCCGAGGCTCCTGAGAACCAGCGAACAGTGCTGCCTTCATGGTTCAGTCCATGCTGTGCTCAGTGCAGCCCTCCAAGTTCCCCAGGGGAAGGATGGTGGGAGGATGGAGAAATAAAGGTAAGAGTCAGATTGCAGAAAGCTGAGGTCAGGTGGAGCCCTCTCTCCAGACGGGAGGAAAGGAGCTGCTCAGTGACTGCAGTGCATTTATTTACACACTTGGCAGGTTGACGTCACGTGACACCCCTATGCTAGCAACCTGCTCGCGTGGCACGCCTCAAGCATCTGGTGTTCTCTGGACTGGAGCAGCTTGTTTACGTGGTTCACCTCAGGTGTTTTTGTTCCTGAGACTGGCCATTCTCTAGCCGCACATGCGTGATCGATCTCCAGCTTCAGCCGCTCCCCACAAGACTGCTCCTGACGATCAGTGCAAACTCCTAAGCGTGAAGGACTCACCAGCATGAATGCCACCCAGCTGCTTGAGGTGGCTGTGAAGGTCCTTGCCAACTGAGCCCGTGAGGCCCAATGTGAGGTGGACAGGAAAATGAAAAGTCTCACTCCTCGCCACTGCTCTCCTCTACCTGGGAGACTGGATCCTGCTTAGAAACAGGGCTCGGCACACCCGGGGGAAATCAGTGTCACCACCTCCTCGCCCCTGCTCCCAAACCAATGTGCTTATTGCAAAGAAATCAGACACTAGAAGAACAAATGTCCCCACCACAATGGGGGAACACTTAACCAGGTCTGCAAATGTGTTGACCCTCCCTACCAGCCTGAGCCACCAGCGGCCAACCTGACTGAGCTTGCAGAAGTAGACTCATTAGGATAGAGCAGGTTCCTCCAGTCTTGGCCCCCTGGGAGCCGACAGTCAAGACACCTAAGTCCTAGGAGAGAAATGGACCCCCAAGAGTCCCAGAGGACAATCACGGGGACATTCTCCTGAAGAAAAAAAATCTAGAAGTGCCTGCCTGCCAAGCACAAGGTACTGAGTTTGATTCCTGATACCAAAAGAAAACAAAAAAGAAAGGGGCACAAGAGGAAGGAGCTATCAGAAAGAGGGCAGCAACACCACCAAGAGACAATTGCCCTGCTCTAGTCTCACGGACGCTGAAGTCTCTGCAGAGCAGAAGCCTGTGGGTGCTGTTCGCACGAGGACACCCCCACACCCCCCAGAAGAACAGCTGTAGTGCGGTCACCCTTGGTTTCTGGCTGTGTTGGCAACCGTTGCCCTGCTTTTTGGTGTCGTGCTAGCGGAAACTGCCCCCACAAGACTGGCCCTAAGGTGCCTCCTCCTCGCTGTAGTTTCTCTGTCACATGTAGGCTGCCTCGACACCACCTTTTGCTTTTGCCATCAGCCCTCTCCCCATCATCCTGATTAGCAAGACACAAACAGCACTGCAAGGAGCCCTGGGTGAGTATGGCCTCCCGCTGGCAATTCAGCCAGGAGGAGAAGCCCCTCCCCTGGGCCTCGCCCAAGTGACTGTTTGAACACCCAAATAGGGGCTAGAGCGCACCTATGGAGGAAAAACTTTCTTATAGGGACGAATCATTCATTGGTCCTGGGCCAAATTGCTATCCCAAGTCGGGGCAAATCATCTGTTGGCGGGGCACTACCAGCAGCTGCGCGGTTAGGGACCCTGACTTTGGCTTATAGTGAAAAGGTTAAAGAGGCACAAAAGCAGGTGATCTGCAGAGCTCAGGATTGCCGTGTAGACCTAACTGGTTTTAACCAGCTGACCAGACCATGGGGCCCTCTCTCCCCATCAAAAGACTCGGTACCTGCCTCCAACTCCTCAGCCAGGTGGAACCAAGTACTCCTGTTGGACGTGTGTGCAGCTCTGAAGACATATCCACTCGGGAATCTCCGTCTCTCCCCTAACACCACAGATGTTCTTTTTTTTTTTTTTTTTTGGTTTTTGGTTTTTCTCCGGTACCAGGAACCGAACTCACGACCTTGCGCTTGCCAGGCAGGTGCTTTGCCGCTGAGCTAAATCCCCAGCCCCTACACCACAGATGTTCTGCTAGGACCGTAACCCAGGATGTTCATCTAAATGTCATAGACAACCACCTCAGATGCCTTAACAGCCCTTGGCCAACTAACTGAACCAGCAGGGTTCTGAACAATCTCACTCTGCACAGAACACGGCCTTGCCCAACGATAGGTTCAGTGGAGCCAGCCCACCAATGCCCGGAGGGTAACTGGACAGGCGTTTCTAGCCACCGACCTATCAGTTTATAGCGAGCGAGATTTACGGTGGCCCTACACCGCCAAGAAAGGACCAACAGGGCCATCCTGAGTAGCCTTTTTCCTTTTGTGCTAGGAATCGAACTCAGGACCTTGCACTTGCAAGGCAGGCCCTGTGCCACTGAGCTATATTCTGACCGAGTCTAATAGGGCAGGTACTGCAGCAGGAAGAGGCGTGGAGCAGGGGGCACGTCACAAGAGTTGTCCTCCGACATGGATCAAGTCACTGATTCCCTGGCCACCCTACAACAGCAGCTCAATTCCCCGGCCAGGTGACTCTGAAACAGGCAGGCTCCTGGCCTCCTCAAGGCACAAGGGCAGAACACGCCTGTGCTTGGGAGAAGAATGTTGCTATTTTGCTAGCTGGAACAGTCATGTCTAAAGTTAAGAGCTAGAAGAAAAGGCGAAGAGGCTCAGACAGCGCCGTGACAGCTGGTTTCCCTCTGACCGGGCGGTCTTCCTGGCGTCCTCTCACTGGGCCCCTACTGCTCTTTGGGCCGTGCAGCTTCAGACTGCTCAGATTTCCTCCAAAATTGGGTCTGAGCCCTCACCCAACAATCAGGAAGACAGCTGATGCTCAGAACCTGTTCCCTCGCTGGGCATGGTGGCACATGCCTATGATCCTAGCACTTGGAAGGCTGAGGCAGGAGGATCATTCAAGTCCTGGGCCAGCCTGGGCTACAAAGTGAGTTTAAGGCCAGCCTGAAATGCATAGCAAGACCCTATCTCAAAAATGAAAAAAAAAAAAAAAGAACCAATCCGATCCCACATAATGCCACATCCTAATGATCCCTTACGGAAAATTATAGGGGAATCAAAGGGGAGAATGTCAGAGAAAAACAAAATGCTTCTACACAGATGTCCCTTTGCTGCACGCCCCTCCTCCCTTTCCCACACCTGCCGTATCCTTGTGTGATAAGCAAGCAGCTTCACCATCTCCCGTTACTGCCCCAGCGGGCCACGATACCTAGATGTGCAGTCGCAGACTGTCACGTCTGAGTAACGGCCTTTATTCTGCTTCTCTTAGTTCGCTTCCCCCTCCCGCCAAAGGCCCCGTGTGAGGCCCCTAAACCCCACGCGCAGGGCTCAGACTCAGGAGTGTGGGGCTCCTCTGCGGCAGCTGGCGTAACACTTGGTTCCCCCCAGGTCTCCGAGTGCTGCTCAGCTTCTTCACCTCTGCTAAACCCTCCAATTACTGTAGCAAGCCCCGGCCGAACCCAAGGCTCCCTGGCCACCTTCCAGGACGCTGGACCGGAGACAGGAGCAGCAGAGTGTGGCCAGGGGCCTTGAGGCTTCTGCTCCTTCCTGTGCCCACCCAGGACGCTGTGCCTTGGGAACCCCGTTTCTTCCCCACTCCCAGGCTCTGCAGGCCTGGCCTCGAGGTCCCAGCGGGGCAAGGTCTTCCCGTACGTGCAGGGTGCAGCTGTCCCCCAGTGTCTCGGCTCCCTCCCGAGCCCCTCTGTGCCATCCAAGGTGACAGACAGGAAGCTCAACCTCTGAGGTGCAGATTTTGCCTCAGGCAACTAAATTTATTACCAAGAAAAATTTTTTGTCAGCCCAGCACTGACCAACAAAGTCCATCGTTAATAAAGGATAACAAATCTGTCACTTAATTCATAAAACATACCTCAAGCAGTTACAACTAAAAATAAAGTTGGATTTTTGTTTAATTTAAAAGCCTCAAAAATAACAAGCAATATGTTTTTAAAACATGTCGTAGACGCAGTCGTCTATTATACAATATACACTGTACACAGAGCCGGGTGGGCAGCGGGGCCAGGTGGGAGGGCATCTGTGTGGACTGGATCTGGGTGGCAATGTGGCGTGAAAAAAAGAATTCATACGCTCATCTCTACCTCCCGAAACCCTAACTGAAAGCAGGCACAGGGAGCTGACAACCAAGGAGAGGACGAAGGAAGCAATTAAATAAAACTTGTTAAAGCAAACACAATACACAGTGTTCATCATCAGAAGTAGAGTATAAGGCAACGTTCTCCGCAGAGAGGGACGGCCCGCAGCGCCGACCCTGGCTAGAAGTTGGAATGTCTCCAGCGGCCTCTGAGCCGCTGCGGGGGCGCCCGGGGAGGGCTGCAGGGCCCTGGGGTGTCCCTGGCGGCCGGGGTGGGGCGGGGGCTATGGCACGATGGGACCCCGGCAGTGTTGGGGTGCTGGGGTGGGGAGGGGGCGAAGGGGGCTCACTTTGCTCCTCGTCGGAGTGAAATGCACGTTTTCCTTTGGAAAGAAGGGTCCCACGCGTCCTGGGTTAGAACGTCTCGTTGGGCATGGCCAGCGTCCCCGGGCCAGGCAGGCCGGAGCTCCGGGTCAGAAGGGAAGGGCGGGCGCAGAGCCCTTCCTACAGGGACTCAGCCGCCACAGGAGCCAGGCCCGGGGGCTGGGGTAACCGGGGGTCCGCGTCTGCAGGGCCGCCCGCCTCGCTGGCCTCACAAGTTCTTGGTGACCAGGTGCGTCTTGTAATGCTTGGTGAGGTGGTCGCTCCTCATGAAGCGCTTCTGGCACTGGGCACACTCGAAACGCTTGTCCCCTGCAAGAGGAGAGGCCTGTCACGCGCAGCCGGCGAGAGCCAGCACCTGCAGCCCCAAGAGGAGACGCCCATTTGGGGCCAGCGGCCCGGCCTGGTCGCCTCCTGCTCACACTTCCTCCCTGGCACCTACTGACCCAAAGCCCCCTTTCTCTGCCCAGTCTGCCCTTTGCGGTCTCCTCTGCCAACGTGCTGCGCCTCAGCCCCCGTGCCCACCCTCTTCCCATGTCGGGCCACTTTGTCCTGTCTGTGTGCCCGGGACTTTAGCCCTCGAGAGAGAGCCCCACTCACCTCGCCCTGCCCTAAGCTGGCACCCAGTAGCCACTATGCTGGCACAGGCCCAGTCTGTGCTCAGGTGGCGTCTACTCCTGTCCTGTCCCACCGTGGTGGCCGGGAGCTGCAGTTCTGGGTCCCAGGGACCCAGTCCGAGTCCTAGGGCAGGCCTACTCTCCGGACCAATCGCAACAGCAGTGCTTCCCAGCGCGTGTGCCTGGGACCACCGGGGCACCCGGGACCTCGGCACACAGCGCGCTCAGTTTCTAGCAGGGCCGCACTTCCCCGCCAGTACCTTAAGCCAAAATTAGGCTATCAAATCTGACACCGAAACTAGCACGAACACATAAATGAGTTAAAAAAAAAAAAAAGATAAAACAATGTAAGGCAAATAATTAGGTAACAGCGGGAGGGCAGCCAGGGATACAGGAAGGACGGGGAGCCTGAGGGCTGCGTCTGAGCCGGGTCCCCAGTTCCACCAGTCACCAGCTGACCGAGCCACCTCCTCGGCGCGAACGGGCTCTTTGCCGCGGTGCCCCAGAGCCCTCGCCAGGGTGGCCTCGGGCAGCGTGGCTGCGGGGCGGGCAGAGGTGGGTGGCCGGCGCGCAGCGCTGACCTGTGTGGGTGCGGGCGTGCCTCTGCAGCTCGTCGCTGCGCGTGAACCGCTTCCCACAGAAGAACCAGTTGCACACGAAGGGCCGCTCGCCGGTGTGCAGGCGCACGTGGGCCCGCAGCAGCGACGTCTTCCGGAACGTCTTCCCGCAGTCCGGGATGTGGCACACATGCTTCTTCTTGCCCTGCTCCCCAGACCTGGGCGTTGGGCAGAGCAGGACAGGGCGAGGGAAGGTCAGCTCCGCGAGCCAGGAGAGGCCAGGCCGGGCGGGGACGCCAGCTCACCTCTTCTCCCCGTCCTTGCAGTTGGGACACGTGCAGGCCATGCGGCGCCGCTTCTCCCCGGGCTGCGCCTCCCCGGCCAGCGCCTGCTCCATCTGCAGCTGGATCTGGGTGGGGCTCAACCCGCTGATGGTCAGGCTGTTCCCAGAGACGTTCTGCACCGTCAGCTGCTGCTGCCCTGCGGGCGGGCGGGAGGGCCGCGTCAGGCGGGGGAGTCTCAGAGCCCCTCAGGGGCCTCAGAGAGGCTGCGGACAGGCTGTTACCCCTGCTTTAGATGGGAGGAAAGCGGGGCTCAACGACAGCAAGGTCGCTCAGCTAGCAAGTGGCACGACGCGACCTGGAGACACAGAAACAGGTCACAGGAACGCGCGGCTGCAGCCCAGCGTGGTGGCTCAGGCCGACAGTCCCCGTCACTCAGGAGCGGAGAGAGGAGCGGGGCAACGCGGAGGTGGGTGCAGTGCTTGCCTCCCATGCCCTGGGCCCTGGGGTTACCTGCTAGCACTGCTGAAAAAGAATGATGTGAAAGTCAGGAAAAAAGGCTGGGATGGAGCTGAGTGGTAGGAGGCCCTGGGCTTGAGCCCTAGCACCAGGCGGGGCGGAGCCTACGCCTGTGTGACTTCGCCCGCAATCCCTCCAGCCAAGGTGCTTGGCTTCCAGTGGGGGTCATCTCAGGGGCCTGGGATGGCCCCACGGAGCGTGGTACTGAGGATGAGCCCAGGCCTCACACAGCTGAGCCGTCACTTGCCCACCGGGCCTCCCGACGCCTTTAAAAAGTTTTAATTTGAGACAGGCTCTACATTACTCAGGTTGGCCTCCAACTTGTTCCCCAGCCTCCTGAGCGGCTGGGATGACAGGCATGTGCCACCATGCCTGCCTGCCTTTAGTTGTTAGTAAGAGTGAGGAAACAGGCCTGTGTCCTGGTCATGTCTGTAATCCCAGCACTCTGGGAGGCTGAGGCAGAAAGATGGCAGGTTTGAGCCCAGCCGGGGTAACTTAGCAACTTAGACCCTGTCTCAAAAGTAAAAAATAAAAAAAAAGGCTGGGGATCCAGCTCAGTGTAGAGGCCTTGGGTTTAATGCTCTGTGCCACAAAAGAAAGGGAAGCCGATTCGATGGGTTTTGGGAAAAAATCAAGCCCTCTAGAATGTCTTGTCCTCTCTCTTGGGGAAGTCCCTCAGGGGAGAACACCAGATTGCTTAGCGCCACAGGTCCATTAGGGGCGGGGAGAGGGGACTCGGAAGCACCGTGGCCTTGACCATCTGCCCTCTTCCCTGGCACATGACGCCAAGGGCCAGGTGGCAGGCAGCTGCAGCCTCCCGTTCCCAGCTGGGCCTCCACAAGGGACACACACAGACCAGGCACCCAGCCGGCCCCTCCGTGCCTCCTGGTCCCAGGCGGGGCCCTCCTCACCGCCGGTGTTTGTGATGGTGACGGGCACGCCCTGGACCTGGACGCCGTTGATGTTGATGGTCTGCATGGCCTGGGCTGCGGCCGCCAGCTGCGCGGCGTTCAGGCTGATGACGCTGCCGGCCGGCGCGATCTTGGGCAGCGGCCGCTCCTTGCGCAGAATAGCAGCCGAGTGTTTTTTGCTGGTCCCGCTCAGGTGGGGAGCTCGGGGTGCGGGGCTGCTACAGGGAGTGGTAGAGGTGGCCGCGGCGGTCGCAGGAGGGCTGTCCTGGACCAGGACTGTCTGCACCTCACCGGAAGGCGTGCGGATGTAGACCTGGGGGCCAGAGAGGAAGAGTGCTGGCCTGCGCCTTCACGCTGCCCTGTGTTGCCCGCTCCCAGCCCGGGTCTGTCTCGGAGCAGCTCACGCCTGCACGCAGATACACAGCGGGGCCCAGCCAGAGGCGGGCGGCAGTGGCCCAGGCTGCCTACTGACTCAAACAAGCTCTTGCACGGAAAACCAAGGCAGGGCATCAAAGGCAGGGCACCGTGAATGACCATCGAACAACCACAGGGTCATGGGGTCCTGAAGAGCCACATATTAACGAGAGATAATTACTGTCCAATCCAGACTGGTAAAGACGGAAAAATTAAAATACAGTGCTTGCTGCCAGATGTAGTGGTGCTCACCTATAATCCCAGAGCTTGGTAGGCTGAGGCAGGAAAACTGCCATTGAGTTCCAGGCAGCCAGGCTACATACTGAGTTAAAGACCACCCTGAACTACATAACAAAACCCTGTCTTAAAATAAATAAAAATAAATAAATAAAAACTTTTAGGGCCAGGGATATAGCCCAACAGCACAGCACCTGCATGGCAAGCGCAATGTCCTGAGTTTGATTCCTGGTACCAAAACAAAATTTTTTTTTTTTAGGAAATGCCACTGTCATGGAAGTTAAACTAAGGATGAAGAAGCTGGGCATAGTGATGCACACCTATAATCCCAGCTACTTAAGAGGCTGAGGCAGGACAATCTCAAGTTGGAGGCCAGCCTGGGCAACTCAGCAAGTCCGTCTGAAAATAAACAATAAAAAGGGCTGGAGATGCAGCTCAGTAATTTCAGTACCACAAAAATGTAAAATAGGAGCTGGGGTTTAAGCTCAGTGGCAAAAGCGCCTGCCTGGCAAGCACAAGGTCATGAGTTTGATTCCCGGTACTGGGAAAAAAACCAACCAACCAACCAAACAAAAATGTAAAATAAAAAAGTTATATATACAGTAACACCTTCCGCCTATATGTGATTACTATAAAACCTGGGTAAGTCCTGCTCCTATCAGTCTCCAGATGTGGAAGCTCTCGGAGAAGGGAAGGGAGGACGCCCCAGTGAGGGTGCACACCTGAGCAGGTGCCGCCTCAGCCCCTCACCTGGAAGGTAGGTGTGTAAAGTGCCCTGGTAGCACGTAACACAGCCAGAGCAGGGGGCACCTGGGCTGGCCTGGGATTTCCTCTTGCCCAATGTCCGGGTCCCCAGCTCCAATTCAAGGCGCTCTTCTTCCCCACCCAGAGAATCACTCGACTTCCCACCGTCCCTGTGTGGCTCTTTCTCTGCAGACAGCTCCATGACAAATTCCTTGATGCCAAGGCTGTTCCTTGTGGATTTGTTTTGTTTGCTTTTATGAGGATTTTTTTTTTTTTTTTTTTTTGTATGACAAAATGAGACAATCTCACTAAGCTACCTAGGTCTTGAACTTGCAATCCTCCTGCCTCAACCTCTTTTTTTAAGACAGAATCTCACCATGTAGCACAGACTGGCCTCGAACTCGCTGTGTAGCCCAGGCTGGCCTCAAACTCACAGCGACAGTCCTGTCTCAGATTTCCAAGTGCTGCATGGGCCACCACGCCCAGCTTGCCTCAGCCTCTGGAGTAGCTGGATTTATATGCACAGACACCCAGGGCTATTTTTTCATATTAAACAAACCTAGTCACAAATTTCAGGCACAGGGTTGGGGATATAGCTCTGTGACACAAGTGCCTTCCTGGCAAGTGCAGGGTCCTGAGCTCAATTCCCAGTACCAGAAACAAAAACGCCACATCAGGGGCCGCACCTGTCCCACAGAGTCAATGGAAAAACACAGGGCTGGGGATTTAGCTCAGCTGCACCGCACCTGCCCCTGGCAGGCACGAAGTCATGAGTTCGATTCCCAGTACTGGAACAAAACAAAAACCGAAAAACACAAACAAACAAAAAAAAAGAAAAACACACGGGGTATGCAGTTAGAAGTGCAATGGAACTAGGGCCCTGTCATTTGTACCCTACGGGGTGCTGAAACTTTACTCTCAGTTCCTCCTTCCCTGTCTGCAAGGTGGACTATCCCTCTAGCATTTAAGAAGGGTGAACAAAGGCTGGTAATTGCCCACCCAGCAGTGGGGGAGGTCGGTGAACTCCTTGGGGCTAGAGGAAGGTCAGCCCCCAATACACACAGCTCCAGGCAGAGGAGCCACATAAACAAGTTGTTTACTTCGGCACAGGCGGCTCCCAGAATGCTTTCTTTCAGTGTTCTCAGCAAAACACTTGAGACCTTGTGCTTTCTGCCCACTTGCGCTGGCCCGCCTTTATACAGTGTGTAAGGAAAGAGGTGACCATGCTGGGCTGTCACTGCCTCTCCATCTGAGAGGTCAGGTCCCACCGGGACCCAGCTTTCCTTTTAGTATGTGTTTACAGTTTCTTCTTAATCTCTCATTGCCCCCTCTCAGGACCCGCTGGCAGAGCCAGAGATCTGGGGTAGCAGATAAAGGCCAAAAACAACATTCCCGTTGAACTCAAGATCCCAGGCAAACTTGAGCCTAAATTTTTGTTCCTGATATAAAACACTTCCTGTTATTTTTATTATTAAGATGAGCAGCAGTTTTTCCCTTCATTTTACAACAAAATCTACAATTCTGACTGGAATTTTTTTCTTTCTCGCTAGCTGTTCTGAGTATGTAAATTCTATGAATAAAAAAATAAACTAGGTAGGGTTTAGCTCAATG